TTTTAAATTATTCGAAAAAAATTGTTAATATCATATATTAAACTGTATACTGATATAATATAATATTGAATTTTGCCTATATATGATAGTATGTAATCGCTACTTGTCAACTATTTATATTTAAAACAGGGTAACTGGTAAACAATATAAATAAATTTGTCAAAAATTTATTTTCTTATCAATTTTTAAAAATCTTCTTTATAGTGCATAAAGAAAAATCAAATAGTTTCAAATAGTGCATTATTTGGCATTTAAATCTTCTCTGAAAATGGAAGAATTTTGCAGATTTGAAAGATTTGAAATTCAATATTTTTTTTCTTAAGTAGAATTCTATAATTTTTATAAAAATATTATTTAAGTCAAAATTGATTAATTTAATTTTAATTTTTTGATATTTTATTTGAGCAATATATACGCTTAAACATTATTTTTGTATACCATGTTTATTGACAATTTCATCATACAAGCATTAATTTAGCTCTCTTGATAAAATCATGTCATATTTATGAATTTAAAAAAATAGATTTATTATCCATGTTTACTTTTTGCAATAAAAAAGTTAATCAAGATGCTGCAAAATTAAAAATATGCTATAGAATTAAAAATATTTCAATACATGTATTTTGGAAAAATATTAGAAATCAATTCATAAAAATATAGTTCTTTTAAAAAAACTCAAAAAAGAAGTTCAAAGGCTAATAATTTAAGAAGAATATATTATATCTATACTTGAGTATATTGAACAGAATCTGCAAAGATCTAAGTATGGATCCATTTGAATATCTTCTATAGCTCAAGTGAAAAATTAAAGAATCTTGAAAATCCATCAATATTTAAGTCAATTTTTAAGCATCCTAATGCATAATATATATATTAAATAATTAATCATTTAAAACCATTTAATTTTTTCTAATTAAATTTTTTTCTAGTTTCTAGTAGCATTATATTATCTATTAGCATTATAGCTTATTGTTAATTCAATTGCAAGAAATATCCTATATACAATAGCAAAATAATAAGAAATTAAATGTGAAGTTGATATCATTATCATGTAATTTTTTTTATTGTAATTTCGGTCGTTCAAGAATTGTTTTATATTTTTTTTTTACAAATTCGAATTTAAGTATAGATAAATACAAAGTACTATGGAATAAATAGAAAAATAAAAATCTATTTTTATATTTGTTATAATAGTATATTAAATTATTTTATATTGATTTTCTGTCTTAATTATTTTAACAATTTTAATAATCATCATGTTATATAATTATAATTATATCATTGTATCCAATCTTTATCCAATCTATCTTTCGTTTTACATATTATTCTTTTCATTATAGATCTCTTAGTTTCTCATATTTATTTTTCATTCAGAAATAGTGACTTATTAATTAAAGAAATTTTTTTATTAGGTCGTAGGATTTCATCATTCATTTTTCATTCATATTTCATTAATCATTTATATGAAATATTAGATTTTTATATAAAAAGTTTATATTTGATTTTTCAAAATTATTTTTAACTTTAATCAAAATAAACACTATTCACGATATTTTTCCAACAGCAATCTTAGGGAAAATCTTCCTTTTCGAATAAGTCTTTGTTTTTAAAAGCGATAAGCTTTTTGAAGATTTGAAGTCTAAAGAAACTCTGTCTCTGAATATTTTCTGAAATATACAAGAATGATTCAAATTTCTGAAAATCTATTAAAAATATTTGAAGAAGAATTTTGTAATTCTAAAAATGTTTATACAATTATTTATAAAAAAAGATACGAATTACAAAATAATGAATATATTTAAAAAAATTTGTTTAGAAAAAAATAAAATTCAAAATTCAATAAAAAATAATGCAGAATATAATAAACTTTTCAAAAATGACAAACAATTTTCAATTTAAGAATAGCCAAACAAATTAACAAATCAACTTTAAATTTTGAATAAACATAAATTTAATATTTCATATAACACAATTTAATACTTATAAGATACAAAATTAAAATAAATTCACAATTATAACATCAAACAAAAATTTTAAAGGTTATTTAAATGATTCATTTCTTCCAAATTTATTTTTTTTTTTATGAGAAAAATATATTATGATTAGAATTTATATAGAAAATTTAATAAAATTAATGAAAATTGGAAAAATGCGATTAGTAAGTAAACGGAAAATTGAAAATAAAAATATTAATTGCACAAAAATTTAAAAATTAGTCTTTTAGAAATTTCTATTTAAGAACTATAAATATATATAAATATAATATAATATATAATACTTATATATTTCTACAATAAATATTATATATTTATACAATAAAAGTTTTAAAATTAAAAAGTTTTTAATATTCAATAAATGTACAAATGTACATTTAATAAAAGTTTTAAAATTAAAAAGTTTCCAATATTCGAAAATTAATTTTTTTAAAAATTTGAAAATTGTTTTAAAAAAATACTTATAAAAATACTTATTAACAATAGCATTTTGCGTTGTTACATGATATAAATGATTGTAAATGATTTTATTAAATAAATTCAAAGTCTTGAGTTCATCATATAAAAAAAATAAATATTTTTTAAATATTTGTTATCATTATTTATAATCCATATAAATAAATTTTATAAATTCTTTTTATTGCATTTTATATAAATGATTTAATAATTGTGACTAAAATGAGCATTTATTTTTATTTATTTTTTAAATATACAATTATCATAAACAATTATCGAGGAAAAGTTATGTAAAAAAATGATTTTAGTTAAAATCGAGTAAGCATATTCTGCTAACTAATTAAAGTTAATAAGTCATAATTGTACTCTTCGCGTATATTATTACTCTATCATTATTTAGAGTTTGTATGAAAATAATCAATGATTGTATTTAATGACTAATTAATGAAGATAGTATACGGCAAATCTTAATTTACATTGTACCATACTTAGAAATGGTTAATTTGTTTGTTAATATTATATCGTTTTAATTTGCATTACAATTATAGTTAACTGTTCTTGGATAATATAGAATAATCAATATTCATCGATTTGTCATTTGTCATAAGTGCATACCAATAAAGAACATCTTACATAAGAGATAAGAGAGATACATAAGACGTCAACTCATAATTCAATTTTATATAAAAATAAAATATAGGTGTTAAATATCAAGCAAAAAATTAAAAAAGAAAATAAAAATAGAAAGATATTTTAAAATAAAAACTAATTTAATATAAATAATATTTCAATAGTGCAATTTGATTAAATTCACATGATAAATCAACTTCCATCGATCATCTATAATTTCTAAATGCAATTTATCGATAATTACATAATAACTTCTCCAAAAGTTTATAATAAATTTAAACATATATTTTAACATGCAAAATGCATATAAAACAACTCATTCTCTACTATATGTTATAACTATTGTATAAATTACATTATATTGCTATGATACGCCATATAAATTAAGATTATATACAAACATATATATATGTAATAATGAAAACCATCCTAAAATTTTTTTATTTTTTTATAATTTATTTATTTATAAATAAGTTTATTGCAAAAATATTGATTGTATAAAGGAAAAAAATATTAAGCAAAATGCTTCACATTTCAATCGCGCTTAATCGATATTAAGATCAATAATTTTTTCTATCGTAAATATATATACTATATATATACTGGATATTTCTTCGAGTATATAAGTATACTTGTAACGAATATTCGTTGGTAATAGTGTTTCAGATAAATATAGCAAATCAAATAAAAACGGGAAACGCGCCTAATTATACAATAAATGATTAATTATTTGACTATAAATTCGTGTTATAATCCAATATTGTATTAAATTGAATAAAAATTACTATTAAATTGAATAAAAATACTAATAAGAGATCAATGACTTTTTTTGACTGAGCGACTCTTTCCATTTCATTTTCAAATTATTATCGATCATGTACGTCGCGTAAACAAAGTCTTCTTCGAATTTATTGTTATCAGCATTCTCAAGAAATTGATATACATTGTCTGCGTTGCAAGTGCAAATTCTATTTTTCTATGAATTTCTATAATTATAATTAATAACTATAATTTTTTTGCAATAAAATTAAAATTGAACATTAAAAAAAAATGATAAAAATTTTTGCGATACAAAAACCCGAATGAAAAGGCATTATTTCCTGCAGAATTATTAAAGCCTCCATTAAAAGGGTAAACTTTCGGAAAATTTTCGAAAGTTTAATGGAAGCTCACAGAACATGGTAACTGTTTGTGAAGAAGTTGAATGGACTGTTATGTGAATAAGACCATCTGGTTGTGGGAAAACATGCGCATTTCGTATAGTATCGAGAACGAAGACAGCATTTCTTTTTTTAAAATTTCTTTTCGCAATTTAGTCCTTTTAATGTATATATATATAATGTATTCAAACAGAAATTATTCAAAATTTATAATGAAACTTGCAATATCATTTGAAATTAATGTCAACGAGAAAAATGAAGAGGAAATTGAAATAAAAGAATAATAAAAAACATGAAAAATACATTTTTTTAAAAAATATTTATATTCCGTACCGGGAACCACGTGAGAAAACACAGTTAGTGGCGCAAGCATTATGAAAAACTAACGTAAAGAAATTTGTATATTCACATAAGCATACAAATACATGTCTGAATGAGACAATCGCGCACGTCTCTTCATCGAAGAATCACATTGTCTAACCTCAATGACACAATCGAATGGAAGCAGTGAACTTCTCTGGCATTGAATTATTTCAAGCTTTTGAAATGCGGCAAGACGAGAGAAAAAAAATTAATTCACTGCGCGCGTAAAATTCTATGTGATTTAACGTAAAATATAACATTATTCTGAAGAGACTCAATGCATTTATAAAATATGTTACTGCATATATATGATAATATATTTAACATATATATATAAATATATACACATCGTTGTCACTTGGATCATTCTCGCAAAAGACAAAATTCATCGACTTACGTCAACTGCGAACTCCACTCTCGATCGATACACCACGATATCTCTCTCTCACTCTATCTGTCTCTGTTACCCTTTCACAACTGTTGGTTTCGTCTCTTTGTTCCTATTGTCCCGGTAGATTCTCACCAATAAACATCAAACAAGATCAACAAAAGCAATACATAAACTAAAAAACCGACGATTGTCTTCTTTTTTCACGAATCACGGTAACGTGACGAATATAGAAGACAAGTATAACGAGAAACTCGCACATAGAAAAGATAAACAAGAAAAAACGTCGAACACAACACACACGCGATTCGCGATTCCGGAGCACAGCTGGTTGGAACGTCGTCGTGCGCGTTACGCTGTATCGGCCACTCGAAACTCCGGCTGCTGTTTCAAGGGCAAGGCTAGCCCTCGTCGTTGAAAGAACGCGGTACTATTATATTATAAATAAATTTTTACAAATACAACAATAAAAACAAATTATACACGATCAATCTTCTCACGAATTGAATCGAATTTTTCTCATAAATTGAGTTCTAAACTTTTGTTCCGTTCAAGAAATACGAAACTCGTCACGAACCAACTCTCTCGATGGACACGACGATACTGAGGCGCCGGCGTGTTTATTGCCCCCACCACCGATTCCCCCGCTACTTCCAGCAATCTATCCCCACTACTCTCGCTGCTTTTTCCTTCTCTATTTCTCTAACCATGCTAGATTTTTCCCTACTACGCCACCTTCTCTACCACCAGCTTCCCATTCGATCCTCTCCTACCTATATTCCAGGTCTCAGCTGTCCTACGAGTGTCTGCTTTAAACCTTTTCCTTCTTTCTCTTACTACTATTTTATCCTCGTTCCTTTTATATTTTTCCCTTGTTTCTATCCTTATTTCTCTCAACTGATCCGCCACGACATCCTTGTTCGCAACGTTTCCTCTATACTATTCCTTTCTTTTTTCTTTGTCTCGCTTTTACTTATACAATTCGTGTTAAATTGTTCCTTTCTTTCTCGCGAGTGAATTCGAAGCATAAACTAGGTCATTATGTTCAAAGTGCCACATGCGTGTTTTAACCGTTTGGCTTTTTCGAGTTTTCTCGGGTTACAGATAAACATAGTGGCAAACCCTTCGAAAATATTAGAATCGTAGCGTATGCTTTTCAAGATGAACGACGGTAAAATCTGACCGAAAATTAGCCGATGAAATCTGTCGCGACAAATCCAACGGTAGTGACAGTAAACTGCAAGGATTCACCCTCACGAAGCCTACGAGATATATAAATATCCTATCCGGAAAAAGCTGCAAAAGTTAACCTTGCAACTTTTCACTGACAGTCTTGTATAATTATAATTGTTATAGATTTTTAAAAATCAAACTGATGTAATTATTAAATTATTTATTTGACTTTATTTGTTTTGATCTTTATGTTTTTTTCTTATTATAAAAATATTTCTGTATACAAAAATATTTCTTTTCTAAAGAAAACGAATTTTTCTCTCAAAAATGATATTTAAAATTTATTTTTTATCTATTATGTTATTTGATTTTATAAAACAATTTATAAAACTTATTCGATAGAAATAGAAAAATTTAATTATCATGCAGATTTTTTAGATATTTACTCAAAAACAATTGTTTATTTTCCTCAATTAATTCAGTTATAACTTAAAAAGGGAGCACTTTTCAATACCATAATTCTACAATTCTAAAATAATTTTTTTTATTTACACGTTTAACAAACCTGCGCAAATATTGAAACATGCGTTCAGAAAATAAATCAACATTGAAAACATAATCCGTACACAAATTTTAAAATAAACTTTGATACAATTTTTATTAAAATTTTGTGTAGAAATTTAGTGCTAGTGGAATTTCATCATTATAACTAGATTATGAATATTTATGCATTTATACAAAATTTCAATGTCAAAAATCTAGAACATATATGATATTCAAAATAGCACTTATTATAATATTTAAAAAATGAGACAATCTTTTTTTAAGTTTCATTTTTTTAATTCATGTTTATAAAAATTTGATTTTGCGTAAAGATTTACATTCTATTCATAATGTGTTATATACGTATTCTCGTGTCACATTCATCCAAAATTATGATTGCATTAATTAAAAGTTAAACTTTTTTTTTATATACTAAGTAAAAGTTAAAATTAATAGTTGATTAAAATTCTATTTGTATATATTAAAAGAATAATAATGTTTCTCAGTTATATCGATTTAAAACTTATATATATCATACTAATCATATGTATATATGTAAAAAAAAAAGAAGAACTGATAATTTTCTTTTTTATTTATTTATTTTTTTTTTATATTTTTGCAAAAACAATTGCTATCTCTACTATAATTTTACATTTATTAAAAGAATACAGCACAGATCTAGCGTCGCATCGTATCGAATTAATCGTTCTCCATTTGCAATAATGTATTCGAGGCACGTTCTACCGGAAGCCGCAATGCGATAGGAGCGCAGGGATAAAAAGTGAATCTTTACGCGGCAGGAAATATAGCGATCATTTAACAGTAAATCCTGTGCGGTCGCATAAAGCGGACGCTTAATCCGGCTCGCATAAGCGATAGTATAACACTAAGTTTCTTTAGCTGAGATATAAAAATGATATTGTGCAATTATCGAATGTTTCGTTCTTTTTTAAAGAATACTTGAAAAGAAAAAAAAAAGAGAAAGATCTTCGATACCAAACCATTTTCTTTTTGCTAGGCGAGACACATGCGGTCATTTATTACGGTATTCATTTATTAAGACCACCTGGGATGTGTGCTATAATTATGTTGCCTGAAATTGCGTGAAACCAGTTCGACAGTAAACCTGGCGATAACTAAGGACAGGCCTCGCTCTGTTGCTGATCTCGAATCTTCGCGATTATGGAATGTCAGCCATTGAACAGAATTCTTTCGTTAACGTTTGATTAATTAATTATTTTTCTATTTATAAATTTTATTTTAATTTTTTTTTAATATTTTTGTTTAATCTTTTTTCTTCATTTTATTTTTTATTTTATTTTATTTGCCCATTTTTGTTTATCCTTGTTCTTATGTTTAGATTTCTATTCCATCTTTTATTTATAGTTCAATAAAATTATTAAACGTTATTTTAATATTGGAAGTTTCAATTATTCTTTGAATTAATATTTATTCTAATTAGTCTGTTTATTTCTTATTTTTTTTACTTCTTATTATATTTTATTAAAAATCATATTTGGTTTTCCCTCTCTCATAATCTTATAATCTTATTCCTTTTATTATTTTCAACGGATTATACTATTGTTTATTATTGTAGCTATTTTTATCTCTAGCATGCAGTAGATTAGTCATATTTTCTGAGTTTTTTTAGGTCTTCTTTCTGTAATCTTGTTTATTGTTTCTATCGTATGATTTTTTTTCCTTCTTAAATTATACGCAAGTTTTCGGATCATCATTTTGAGATAAGCTGAAATTCAAACTGTATATAAATATTTTTAAGTTTGTATTCATGTATTTTTTTAAATATCCATATTTATGCTATATTTCATTGTAAAAATTCTAAATAATTTTTTTTTTATGGTTGTATCAGAAAAAGTAAATAATCCTAAATTGTATATAAATAATGAAAATAACAATATTTCACGAAATAAATGAATACAGTTTCCACATAATCCATAGTCCATAAAAGATTAATACAAAATATCATAAAACAATGTTAAAATTAATAAATGTATAATTTTAATAAATTTAAATAATAATTTTTTTATTAATAATTTATTCAATTTTTTTCAATTATATTGATCAAACAATCATCTTTTATAACAGTTTTATGAATGTATATTTTTTTAACAATATTTTTTATGACATTTTCATATGTTCTTTATTTATTAACGATATTATATTATTTATTAACGATTGTTAATTTACAATTATTTCTTTATTAATAAATTTCTTAATGATTATTATACAATTGCTTAATTGTATAATATATAAAGACTTATTTGCATAATTTTTTAAGTACTTTCAAAAAAGAAATCTGTTATCGTAGAGAGAATAAGAGGATCAATTTGTTTATTAATCTTGACAATTTATTTTAATAATAATTGATTAGCGATTGATTTTAATAATAAATTTTTATAATAATAATAA